GACACAGGCTTGACTTGATGATCTCCCCGAGGCAATCCGACGTTTAGGCAATCCATTACATATCACTTCTGAGCAGTAGTGATCATTCCATGCTAGAAATCGGTTGGGGAAGAGGAGTCAAGTTTGTACCGGAACCACATGGCGGACCAAACAGTTGGCGGATGTCATTTTAAGAGACGAGAGTTGCAGCGTCAAAACTTTCGTGATACCTTGATGGTGTATATACTGTTGATCGCGCATGGGAGACCATAAAGGATGGTATTGTGCATCTTTTTACAACCTTGGCACCGCCATTTCGACAACGGACGTATGCTAGAGGTTCACCTTGATTTCACTCTAACCCGAGATCACTCCTCAGACAGAATAACCGGACCTAGAAATAATAACGTTCTGCAGGAAAGAGTTTCGAGCTCTACCGGAATATCCGAAATCAATGCACGACGCTCAACAGAGCCAACCTTCGAGAATTCGAGGATGCCCCGGTGCTCGACTCGATGAATGCACCAAAACGTCTTTTTGCTTATTTCAGAAGAAGAACAAAAACCATAGCGGCCATCCCAGCAAACCTGAACAACGGCATCTTAGTTGACTCAGACAAAGAAAGACGGAGTCGCTGACTGCACATAACCACACTGTGTACGAAAATGAGATAGAATATACCACTCCACCAGAAATAACTGGCACATGTTCCATACATTTCGAGGAGATAACAGAAGGGGAGATATTCACGGCTCTACAGTTAAAAAAAACCCATAAGTCTCCGGAACCGGATGGTGTCTACCCGTTGATGATGAAAAAACTTACTGAGGCATTGACAGCTCCAGTTACACTCCTGTTCAATACGTCCGTGGTGAAGGTCAAACTGCCTCAGGAGTGAAAGAAGGCGGTTATAGTTCCACTGTATAAAGATGGACGAAAAGAGGATCCCTGCAGTTACCCATCGGTTAGCCTGACCACTGTGCTGGGTAGAACTTTGGAGCGTTTGATAGCCAAACGGATCCATCAGCACCTGGCAGCCAACGGTCTTCGGTACGAACAACAGCATGGATTCCGCAAGCGCTGATCTTACTTGCAAACCTGCTGTTGGCACGGGAACACTGGTCATTGTTGATTTCAGAAAAGCCTTTGGCAAAGTCCTACACGATCGTTTGCTGTTAAAAATGAGGACCTTTGGTATTGGGGACTCATTGGTTCGTTGAATATTAAATTTTCTGGGAGGGCGCACAATCTGTGTCCGAGTTTCTCAGGCAACAACACGCTGGCATGAGTCTTCTAGTGGCGTCACGCAAGGCTCAATTCTAGGCCCTTTGCTCTTACTGACCTACATCAACAACATTCCGGCTTCCTTACGCTCCCAAGGCCTAATTTACGCCGCTGAGCTCAAGTTATGGTGGGCAGTGACCTCAGATGACGACGTCCGTACTCCACAAAAAGACTTGATATTTCTGGAGCGCTGGTCCGTGAGAAGGTTTCTGCCAGTTTACACCTCAATGTGTGCACATATGCGGAAGTGTCAAGCAGATTGCACCGTGGAGTACACCATACATGGCAACCCTCTTCGCTCGTCAACTTGCGATAAGGATTTGGGGATAATATTGGCCTCCAACCTAAAGACTAGCAGCCACGTCGATAGAGTCGGTCTGATGAATACTGGGAGCCATTCGGTGGTCTTTCGGTGGATCTTCCCCGAATGCATTCAAAGTTTTGTATGCATCTCATATGCGCCCGAGATTGTAATACGGCAAACCTGCATCGTTTTATGCACCCAGGTTGCGTTGAATTAATTGCAAAGGACGCCCGCAGGTCATGAGATTGTTTTCATTAGCTTACAGTCGGACGAGAATAGATTTAAGTTATACCATACGCATTATCTACGGAGACCTGGGTTGCGAACTGCAGGCCACGCTTCCACTTCAAGAGCACAATGTACGAGGGAGCACGCACTGACTCTAGTAAAACAACACTGAGTAGTATTACCGCTGATTTACCGCCTATCTCATCGGGGACCAACATGTGTAATATGCTACCGGAAGACTTGACGGAGGATATCAATGACAAAATGTTCAGGCGTCGATTGGACAAATTCCTGGGGAGGTGGTGGCAAGGTACGCACATCTAAGTCATGTCATCGAGCTTCGGTAAGGAAACTCATTCGGGATTATACCCATTGTCCCTCAAAGAAGAAGCTTATGCTAATATTTAAGCAACGACAGAAGAAACCTGAAATCATATCTCATCAAAGTTGAGAAAACGTGCGGCAAATTGTTACCATGTGGTTTATTTGCGTTAAACAGAAGAAAGATTATGGAAAAAGTAAAAGTTAGCTTCATAATTTGAAAAGTTGATACTTCTACTAATGCATTTACGGCAAAAGGACAGTCGCTCCAGTTTGGAAATATATGATGATTTTGACGGTGCATTTGATAGTGACCGATTTATAAGCAAAGTTACTTACCTTGAAAAGGTAAGACTAACCTCTGACTAGTTATAATAATTTATAGGAGTAATAAAGAACAGAGGAAGTTTCGTAGCATCAGAGGGGGTCCTAAATCCTACTGGTATATGAATCTGGACGCAAGTGAGACAAAAGCCTTTTTTTGTCCTAGAAACCTGGCCTGGCCTGATCAGAGCCATTTGCCGAACATCTGACTCTTGTTAGTCCTAATAAGTTTGTGATAGTTGAGTGACCGTATTCTGTTGGCACTTAAGTTTCTCTACAATTATATCCGTCGATTGCGTGGCACATCTCATCCCTCTCCTGCCCTCAAGTTACTAGATGGGACAGAAGTAGTTGCCCCTCTCACAGATTGCAGGCGAATTCTAAAAGCACTACAAGATCACCTTTAGTTCCACAGCCATCACTATCCATCCGATACTAAAACCCTTTTCACTTTCTCACAGTTAGACGTCGAGAGAAAACTGCGGAACAAAAATCCTTACTGCTCTATGGGGTCCGACAAAGTACACCCTAGAATTCTTAAAGAATTGGTGAACATTTCAGCTGGTCCATACACCGGACTGTTAGAACGCTGTATGAATGAGGGAATATTTCTTCCTCGCTGGAAAGCCGCAGTTCTCTCCCCCCATGTAAAAAAGGTAGTAAACTGCTTCCAGTAATCTACATCCTATCTCCCTAACTAGTGTACCAAGCAAAATTTTAGAGTGCATTCTAAAAGAGGCCATCTTGAAGCACCTCTGCGCCAATGATTTACGTTTAACCTTCCAGCATCGATTTCTGTCAGGCAGATCTTGCATAACCAATATGCTGACTGTCATGGATAGTTTAACAAAGGCTTATAATAAAGACAAAATCTTGTGTGCCGTATACATAGATTTTGCTAAAGTCTTTGACAAGGTCCCACATGTCTCACTCATACACAAGCTGGGGGTGTTCGGAATCACTGATCCTCTTCTATTACGCATTGACAGCTTTGTCTCTCACCGCACTTTTACTGTAAGGGTTAACGGTACACTATCCGAACCTTGCCCTAATACAACCAGTGTCCCTCAGAGATCTGCTCTCGGTACTCTTATCTTCCTTATTTATATTACCGATCCACCTAGTGCATTACCTGCAAACGTGGCTATGTATGCAGATGATGTCACTATCTGGGGCACAGATATCTGCACGCTACGGGCATCTATTGTTGCTATTAAACACTGGTCCGTTAAATGGAATCTGTCCATCAATGCTAACAAGTGTTGAGGCATGACTTTTGGGAACTCCCCTCCTATCTCGTTTCATATAAGTGGTACGCAACCTCTTAAGCATACCAACTTGCACAAGTTCCTAGCTTCTGGTTAAACAGCGACCTTTCTTTTTCGCACAATAAACAGTTAGACAACAAATCTGCCTTTCGTTTTCTTCGCCTTTTTCGAAGGTCTTTCCCCCATATCATCAAGAAAAACTTTCCACTTATTTTTGACACCTATATCTACCCCGTTCTAGAATATGGTAGTCAAGTTGTTCATTCCGGCTTGATCCGTGATCGTGATGCTCTTGAACGCGTTCAAAGAGTGGCAACAAAAGCGGTGGTTGTAATGCACCACCTTCCCTATCCTGAACGTCTAGCGGAGTTTGATCGGTATCCTCTGCAAGTCAGGCGAATTAGGGGTGACTTATTTCTTCTACACCACCTGTTCTCCTCAGGCCTAGTAGATAAGTTCTTCACTCTAGCCCCGACGGGTGGAACACTGGGTAATAGCAAAAGATTANAGATTACACAAACCTCAACACCACACCACCCTCCGTACATCTTTCTTCACATTCAGGGTCATTTCATACTAGAACACATTGCCGAAATAGATATTTTCTTCAACAAACAAGGCGTCTTTCAAGTCTCGACTTGATAAATATCTAGGTCTAATTGCCTCCTCTTAAGCCTTCCTCCAAAAAGCAGAAAATGTTATAGCCCTTGTTATGTATTTATGTTTTTGCCCATTTGCTAAAGCACATTGTTACGTTTATAAATAATGTTGCCAGAATAACTAGCATTGCTAGTTCCCGATAAAGACGATATATTACCCCTCCAATTTTTTCTGATTTTCCAGTTGCATCCTCCACGAACAGACAACAAGAAACCATCAAGGATCCAGGACCATTAGGCGCCAGCCTCGAACCCGAAAGTCACTTCAAGATTTCAAGACAAGTATGCATGTATGGTTGATAACTGAGTCTGTCCTGCTGCCCGCCTCAAAAGAGGGAGACTCGATTTGATCCGTGATTAAATGATCAAGCCCAGTGTGAGTGATTATCACAGAATTTTGGGAAGATATAAGAAGGGAGAATTTTATAAATGTATGTATACATTTATAATATTCAAGGGCACATGTGTACCTGAAAGTGCACTTTAACAAGCCAAACTTCTTGATCTCAACTGGGAGTTCCCAGGATAATATTCAGAGGACGGCCGAGTCTCTCTCGATGCTAACTGGGTATTTTAATGAGGCGTTTAAAACCCCTGGTGGAAAAGCAAATAAACACTCATTAAATATTAATATCATAATGGTTCAATCACAAAGACATTGCTTTTACAAGAAAAAAGTGATGCATAGTGACCCACGAATAGAATTACCTTGTTTCTAACGCTAATCACGCCATTGAACAAACCTATCGCAAGATACTGTCCATCGGACTTCCAGCTGCAGCATGTTGCTCGAGCAGGTAGTTTACTTTTAACGACAGATTTTTGATCTAGCGTCCAAAATACTAAAAAGGATATGGTTTCAGATAAATCAGATCACAAAGCTTTGCGTACCGAAGTCTGAGCACGCGCAACTAGACAATAATATAGTCAAAGGATTGAAAGAAAGACTTTGAACAGCATCATTGTGCCTGTAAGCATGTCAATAAAAAACAACTTTTTCTCACATATATTTCAATAGACCTTCCAGAGAAAGGGCCTTCCAGATAATTACACATTTGTCAGCCCCACCACTAGCAAAAAACTTCCCGTCATGGGAAAAATCTACGCAGTAAACCGTTTCTTTGTGACCCTTCAATGACTTTTGTAACCCTCCGTCATCAGCTTGGTAAACCAGGACGGCATTTCCAGCTGCAACAACCAGTGTGGATCCGGTCGGACTATAGCATAAATCCCATATACTTCATATATTAGAATGGAACTGTCGAGCAAACCATTGACTGACGTTATTTTTATCTTTAATTTTCACATTCCAAAGTGGGACTGCTTCCATCGAGTGTTGCTATGGCCTAAGCGTGATATTTGTATAATGCGTTAGGTTGCGGAGTTGACCTTGAAGTTTTCAGTTCAGTTCAGTTCAGTTCTCACAGGACGAATTGTGGCTCTTGCCAATCGCGCGTC